CAAATTTGTCTTCCAGGTCCTGTGTTACATGTTATAGATACAGATTCATAACTGAGATTGCTGTATTCTATAATTTTATTTTTAATTATTTGAGGTACATTTATAACCTTTTTAAATAATGGCTACATTCCTGAGTTTCACTAGCAATCAACATGGGTTTCATTTTCATTGCATCATCAACAGATTTGGTTTTTTTGTTTGTTGGCTTTTTGTTTTGAGACGGAATATAGCTTTGTTGCCCAGGCTGGAGTGCAGTGGTGCGATCTTGGCTTCACTGTAAGCTCTGCTTCCCGGGTTCACGCTATTCTCCTGTCTCAGCCTCCAGAGTAGCTGGGACTACAGGTGCCCGCCACCACACCTGGCTAATTTTTTGTATTTTTAGTAGAGACAGGGTTTCACCGTTTTAGCCAGGATGGTCTCTATCTCCTCACCTCGTGATCCACCCTCCTCGACCGCCCCAAGTGCTGGAATTACAGACGTGAGCCACTGCGCCCAGCATGAAGATAATTTAAAAACTATCAGCTGGGCACGGTGGTTCACGCCTGTAATCCCAGCACTTGGGGAGTTCGAGGCAGGTGGATCACCTGAGACCAGCCTGGCCAAGGTGGCAAAACCCCATCTTTACCAAAAATACAAAAACATTAGCCGTGCATGGTGTTGGGCACCTGTAATCCCAGTTACTCGTGAAGCTGAGTCAGGAGAATCGCTTGAACTCAGGAAGCGGAGGTTGCAGTGAGTCAACATCGCGCCATTGCACTTCAGCTGGGCCACAAGAGCGAAACTCCATCTCAAAAAAAAAAAAAAAAAACCCTAAATTTCTAGCTATTATTGTTCATTTTTACTTGTCAAAAACACAATTTATAATAAAATATTTTCAAATATTCATATTGCTGAAGTGTTTTCGTCTTGCAAAACTAAATCTCTACACATTATACAACTACCAATTTTTCGTGTATTGTGGCACTTTTCAAACACCGTTCTGTTTTCTGTTCCTTGTGGTGTAACTTTATATATCTCATACAATCTCTGTCTGTTTGTGGCTGGCTCATGTCACTTTGCAAAATGTCATCAAGATTTATCTGTGTAGTTGTTAGAATATTTTCTGCTTTTTGGAAACTGAGTATTCCAATATTTTTACATTTCAAATTATATGTATTGAATAATTTGGTGACAGAAACTAGCATTGTTTTTACCTATTGGCTTTCAGTAACAATGCTACAATTATGGGTATGCAAATGACTATATGACCATATATATGAAAGTTTATGTGTTGCATTCTATTTGATTTGTCTTGTTTTCAGCTTGATACTCATACCAAATTGCTTTAATTCTGTAGCTTTGTAATCTGTTTTGAAATTAGAAATTATAATGCCTCCAACATTTTTTTTTTTTTTTTTGAAGATTGTTGGGTCTTTTGTTGTCTCTTGAGATAGCACTATGCATTTGCTATTGCTATTTTTTTCAAAAATGCCATGAGAAATTTGAAAAATATTGCATTAAATCTGTAGATTACATTAAATAGTATAAACATCTTTACAATATTAATTATTTTAACCTTTGAACAAGAGCATGCTTGAGTGTATTGTTGAATTTCTATATATTTGTGAATTTTTCAATTTTTTCCCATTGTTTTATATTCTTATTCCATTTTGTTCATAGAAAGTAATCCATAAATTTTAGGGTGTTTGTTTTGTTTTGTTTTGAGACCGTCTCTGTTGCCCAGGCTGGAACCCCTGCCTCCTGGGTTCAAGCAATTCTTGTGCCTTAACCTCCTGAGTATCTGAGGGATTATAGGTGCATGCCACCAGACCCAGCTAATTTTTGTATTTTTAGTAGAGACAGGGTTTCACCATATTGGCCAGGCTGGTCTCAAACTCCCGACCTCAGTTGATCCACCCGCCTTGGTCTCCCAAAGTGCTGGGATTATAGGCATAAACCCAAAGTTTTAGGTGTTTTTTTTGTTTTTTGTTTTGTTTTTGTTTTTGTTTTTGTTTTGAGACAGAGTCTCGCTTTGTCACCCAGGTTGGAGTGCAGTGGTACAATCTTGGCTCACTGCAAGCTCTGCCTCCTGGGTTCATGCCATTCTCCTGCCTCAGCCTCCCCAGTAGCTGGGACTACAGGCACCTGCCACCACGCCCGGCTAATTTTTTACATTTTTAGAGATGGGGTTTCACCGTGTTAGCCAGGATGGTCTTGATCTCCTGACCTCGTGATCCACCCACCTCAACCTCCCAAAGTGCTGCAATTACAGGCATGAGCCACCGTGCCCTGCCAGGTGTTTATTTATTTGTTTATTTATTTAGTTATTTTTATTTTTATTTTTATTTTTTGAGACAGAGTCCTGCTCTGTTGCCCTGGCTAGAGTGCAGCAGCTGTAGTCTCCACTCACTGCAACTTCCACCTCCTGGGTCCAAGCGATTCTCCTGCCTCAGCCTCCCAAGTAGCTGGGATCACAGACATGCACCACTATACCTGGCTAATTTTGTATTTTCATGTTGGCCAGGCTGGTCTTGAACTCCTGACCTTAGGTGATCCACCTGCCTCAGCCTCCCAAAGTTTTGGGATTACAGGTGTAAGCCACCGCGCCCAGCTCAAAATTTTAATTTTAAAACATTTGTTAAGATTTTTTTTTTTGACCTAACCAGTGGTCTATCAAAAAGGGTGTTTTTCCTGATGTTGAGAAGTGTTCTCTATAACTGTTAGAAATACTTGTTTTATACTGCCCTCAAGTCTGCTGTTTCCTTACTAATACTCTCTTTTATTATTATTATCAGAGAATGTGAGGTATCAAAATATCCTGCTATAATTACATTGCTTTTTATGTGTTTCTTCAATTATGTCAATATTTACCTTACATATTTGGAACCCTAATGTGAGATACACATGTACACACACGTGCGCATATGTACAAATTTTTCATAGGTTCCCAGTGAATAAATCTATTATTGCTTAATGCCCTTCTTTGTCTTTTTGGAGTTTTGACTTCATATATATTTTATATAATATGAGTTTTTGACTCAACATGTAGCTCATGTAATACTAATTTGAACTTTTCTGCTCTCATTTGGTTAATATCTGGATAAAATGCCTATTTCAATCTTGCCACTTTCAGGCTTTATTATTATTAGTTCTAAACTGACTCTTGTAGAAAGGCAAGTTGGGTCTTGAGTTTTAATTTTTTTTGAATAAATCCCTTTATTGAAACTATGTCTCTTGATTAGAAAGTTAATTATACATATATGTAAGTAATTTTCTGAAAGGCAAAGACTTCCTGTTATTTTATTATTTTATTTGATTCTTGTATTTTTATCCCTCATTTTCTGTCTTCCTTTGTGTCTATTTCATTTTAGTATTGATGAGGTTTCACTTCTTTCTTATTTTCTTTTGGGTGTCTACACAGATATTTTCTTTGTGATACCTTGGGGATTCCATAAAACCTCTAAAAGAGAAAACAGTATATATTTAATCTGGTGAAAAATGAACTTCAGTTATATACAAAAATTTTTCATCATTACATCTGCCCTCAACTTTATTATTGATATTGCTGATTATATCTTTTTAAGTTGTATATTTATTAACAGATATTTACAATACTTTCTGTACTTTTATTTTTCTAATTTTAGAGAATAATAACAAATGTTTTCTGTCTCCTTATGAGAATGCTAAGGCATTCTGTTTTAGTGTATGTATGTTTCCCAGGAACTGTATTTTTATATGATTGTGTGTTCTTGCATCATGTTATTTTCAGTGGAAGAAAGTTTTTTCAGCATCTTTGATAAATAGGCCATCTATAGTGCCAATATACTGTCTCAGGATTTAGTTATTTTAGAAGGTCTTTATTATTATTATTTGGTAGGACATTTTTGCTGGTGATTATTCTTCTCACTTGACAGCTACTTTTCTTCAGGGCTTTGACAATATCACACAGTTTTCTTCTGGCATGCAAAATTTTCTTCTGAAAAACTCACTCTTTATTGTGTAACTATGCTTACAAATGACACATCACTTTCATCTTGCAGCTCTTCAGATTCTCTCTTATCTGTGACATTTTAAATTGTTCTTATAGATGTGTGTTTTAGTTTGTGGAACTTCTTTATTTTTATACTATTTTTCTTTAGAATTGGTTATTATCTCTTTTTGTGTTTTTTACCTCCACAATTCCTGTTTTTAAAATACTTTTATAATGATTGCTTTCTGAAAATTTCATGATTTTTTTGAAGGGGCCATGTTACCCTAATATTTTGTATACATTGTAATCTTTGATTGAGACTTGGACATTTAAGAAAAAAAAAAGCCACCTGTCACAATCTTTACAATGTATCTTTATCCTGGCACAGTCTGAAACCAGTTGTCATGGCTAGTCATTCTGGGAGCCTTTCAAACATATTCTTAGAATGTGTCTTATCTGAAATGTTTTATTTTCTAGTTTAAAAAGTTTATTTGCATTTATCACTTGCTACACTTGATGCCTTTCTGTGGTACTGTAGTCTCTCTGCTGGTGTGACATTTACCTTTGGTCTCAGCAGTCTCAAATTGTCATTCCAAAGTATACTATTTTTTTTCAGCATTTTATTTAATGAGAGACTGAAACCAGGGTCTTGAAAGACCCCTAAAAGCCAGACATAAAAATATATGTGCCAGTATTTTTCTTGTCTTTTAAATAGAAACAAGGAGTTGGCAATTTACTTCTAAGTACACTATGATATACTGGGGAGAAGGAAGTTCTGTGTTGGGTTAATATAACAGACTTTTTCTTCATGTTACTTTTTTCATTGTTTTCACCTGGGGCACTTCACACATTTATTTATAAATTTTCCAAAAATGTGTTTTGGTCAGTATGTTTTTGTTACATTTTATATGTTTTTGAATAAATTAGAGGCTGTGTTATTTTGCTATGCCATCTTGGTTATATAGTTTATACAATTTTATAGGTTAGATTTGTAAAAATTACTTACCTGAGTCCAGTAAGTGGAGTAATTTGTTGTTTTAATTTCTTTTAGTTATGTGTTCTCATATTGCTGAAGACCTTTGGCCAGAGCGAGACATAAAAGATTTTTTCCAAAATATCATACTGAGGAGATATGATAAATGTGGACGTGATAATTTACAATTAAGATTAGGCTGTAAAAGTGTGGATGAGTGTAAGGTGTGCAAAGGAGATTGTAATAGACTTAACCAATGTCTGACAAGAACCCAGAGGAAAATATATCAATGTGATGAATATGAGAAAGTCTTTTATAAATTTTCAAATGCAGACAGACATAAGATAAGACATACTGAAAAGAAAACGTGCAAATGTAAAGAATGTGGTAAATCATTTTGCATGCTTTCACAACTAACTCAACATAAGAGAATTCATACTAGAGAGAATTCCCACAAATGTGAAGAATGTGGCAAAGCCTTTAACAAGTCCTCAGCCCTTACTCGACATAAGATAACTCATACTGGAGAGAAGCCCTACAAATGTGAAGAGTGTGGCAATGCTTTTAATCGGTCCTCAGCCCTTTCTCGACATAAGAGGATTCATACTGGAGAGAAACCCCACAAATGTGAAGAGTGTGGCAAAGCCTTTAACAGGTTTTCACACCTTACTCGACATAAGATAATTCATACTAGAGAGAAACCCTACAAATGTGAAGAATGTGGCAAAGCCTTTAACTGGTCTTCACACCTTACTGAACATAAGAGAATTCATACTAGAGAGAAGCCCTACAAATGTGATGAATGTTGCAAAGCCCTTAACTGGTCTTCAGCTCTTACTACCCTTACTCAACATAAGATAATTCATACTAGAGAGAAACCCTACAAATGTGAAGAGTGTGGCCAAGCCTTTAACCGGTCCTCAGCCCTTACTGGACATAGGATGAGTCATACTGGAGAGAAACCCTACAAACATGAAGAGTGTGGAAAAGCTTTTAACCGGTCTTCATACCTTATTCCACATAAGATAATTCGTATTAGAGAGAAACCCTACAAGTGTGATGAGTGTGGCAAAACCTTTAACCGGTCTTCACACCTTACTCAATATAAGATAATTCATACTGGAGAGAAACCCTACAAATGTGAAGAATGTGGTAAACCTTTTAATCGTTTATCAAACCTTACTGTACATAAGAGAATTCATGCTCGAGAACCCCAACAAAGTGAAGAATGTGGCAAAGCTTGTAACCATTCCTCGATCCTTACTAAACTAATAAGGGAATTCATAGTAGAGAAACTGTACAAATGTGAAGAATGTGGCCTGGATTTAACAAATCCTCAACATTTACTAAGCACAAAAGAATTCATGAGAACTCATGTGGAAGATAAAGCCTAGAAATAAGAATGTGACAAAGCCTTTACAAGTTCTCAACACATAATTTATACTGGAAAGAAATCCTAAAGTGTGAAGAATGTCACAAAGCCCTTAACAAGTCCTCAATTATTAACAGATATAAGATGTTTCATACTGGCGCAAAACTCTACAATCCTGAATGTCACAGTGCTTTTAATAACACCTCAAACTTTTCTAAACATTAAAAAAAGGAAAAAAAAGATTATACTATTGCAAAACTCTAGAAATACAAAGAATGTGAAAAAGCTTTTAAATGGTTTTCACACTTGACTGCAGGTAAAATAATTTATACTGGAGAAAATTCCAAGTATGAAGAATATAACTTTTAACCAGTGTTCACAACTTACTGCACAGGAAAGCATTTATAGTTGAGAAATGGTGTACAAATATAAAGAATGTGGGAAAGTCATTAATATCTGCTCACATATTGTACAACATCAGAGAGTTCATACTTAATATTATAAATATAATTACTATCAAATGATCTTTCAGAAATATAAGCCTTTAAAGTGAAGAGTTTATTCTGAAGACAAACATTACAAATATAAAGAGGGTTGTAGTACTTGTATCACAGATTTTATTGTACACATTTTTATTTTTAAGACAGAGTCTCACTCTGCCACCCAGGCTGGAGTGCCGTCACCTGATCTCAGCTCACTGCACACTGCAAGCTCCGCCCCCCAGGTTCACAAGATTCTCCTACCTCAGCCTCGCCAGTGGCTGGGACTAGTGGTGCCGCGCCCACCCGCCCGCCACCACCCCCAGCTAATTTTTTGTATTTTTAGTAGAAATGGGGTTTCACCGTGTTAGCCAGGGTTCTCAATCTCCTGACCTCGAGAGCCACCCGCCTCGGCCTCCCAAAGTGCTGGGATTACAGGCGTGAGCCACCGTGCCCGCCTATTGTACACATTTTCTACTAGAGAAGAACCGTGAAGCAGTTGCTGAAACTTTGTTCAACATTAGGGAATTTATATCGGAGAAGAATTCAGCAAATGTAATCAGTTTGGGAAAACATTTTTTCAATAACTATAGCATAGAAAATGCCAGAGAGCTCATACTGAAATATTCTTTTGCAGATGAAATAAATATGAAGAAATATTTAATTCAAATTGAGTTTATATAATTATCAGAGAATTAACAGTAGAAATAGCTAAGGCACTGACACTTCAGACATTACACTAAATCAGACTGCTGTGTGTAGAAAATCCAAAACTACAGTTGGTAAGTAAATTAATTTTATATAACTTTAAAATGAGTAGACTTTTCTTTGAAAAGTCATAATTACATTCAAGTATACTTTTTTGGTAAGTTACAAAACTTGCTAAAAGTAAATAATGTAAGTTAACTCTGAAATTACTTCATGCTATTTATTCATTTTTATTACATTGACCTGTGAAAGCATATGATCAACTATTACTGCATAAGAGATATGAGAGATACTTTATTAGGTGGGAATTATACACGACCTCTTCTCTAAAAGAGTAAGGACATGGAAATGTAAGATGCATGATAAGTATCTAAGTGAAGAGGCTCTTTGTGGTTAACTTACTCAGTGATTTATGAGGTAGTTGTTCAGAGTAATATTCTTTCATGTTATGAGAGAAAAACATTTTTTAGTTAAATGTAAGTTAAAGTAGTACCATATAATGTTACTGATTGTACTTTTATTTAATAAAATGCAGTACATTTAAAAACTCTTAGATTATGTGTGGACTTAATTTTTAATTATTTTCTTTTACTATATTAAGACTATTGTACATTCTGGCTGGGCACAGTGGCTCACTCACGCCTATAATCCCAACACTTTGGGAGGCTGAGACAGGCAGAACACTTGAGATCAGGAGCTCGAGACCAGCCTGGCCAACATGGTGAAACCCTGTCTCTACTAAAAATACAAAAAATTACGGGCATTATAGGTGTCTGTAATCCCAGTTACTTCAGAGATTGAGGCAGAAGGATCAATTGAACCCAGGAGGCAGAGGTTGCAGAGAGCCAAGATTACGCCATTGCACTCTAGCCTGGACAACAAGAGCAAGATCCTGTTTCAAAAAAAAAAAAAAAAAAAAAGTTTTGTGCATTCAATGGAGCATTATTATTCCACTAACTGTAACATACCCACCCTACTCGAGGGTGTAGGTAAAATAAAACAATAAGCTATTTGGCAACATAGTGGAATAACACCTCTAGTAATCGGTTCTGTCAGTGGCTTCAGATTGCAAATAAGTTAAAATGTATTTTTCACATAGGTTACATTTTTATACTTTTTTTTTTTTTTTTTTGAGAGGGAGTCTCGCTCTGTCTCCCAGACTGGAGTGCAGTGGCATGATCTCAGCTCACTGCAAGCTCCACCTCCCGGGTTCACGCCTTGCTCCTGCCTTAGCCTCCTGAGTAGCTGGGACTACAGGCACCTGCCACCACACCCAGCTAATTTTTTGTATTTTTAGTGGAGATGGGGTTTCGCTGTGTTAGCCAGGATGGTCTCGATCTGACCTCGTGGTCCACCCGCCTCGGCCTCCCAAAGTGCTGGGATTACAGGCGTGAGCCACCATGCCTGGCCCCATTTTTATCCTTTCTTATTTCTTCTTTTTAATTTTGTGGTTACACAGTATGTGTATATATTTATGCCATATATGGCATTTTTTGGTACAGGCGTATAATATATAATAATTACATCAGGATGAGGCATCCATCACCTCTAGCATTTATCCTTTTTATTACAATTTGATTAGTAAAATAACAAATACTTTGTTTTAAAATATTAAAAGCACTTTGATTATTTTTAAATTTACAATTGTTCTTGGCTACAGGGTCATTTTTATGGTCATAATAAAAGTTATATAGAAGTATAAATAAAATTGATACATCTCTAAGTCCTGAATAAATACTTAAAGAATTTGTTACATATTTTTCTTTGAACATTTTTTCTCTCTGCCTGCAAACACATACAGGCTTTTAGTTTTTATTTACATAGAGTTAAATATATACATATATTACTCTAAAGATAAACCTTAGGTGTAAGAAAATTATGAAGTATGTGTGAGTATGAGTTTGTACCCATTTTCAGAAGAAGAAAGCAATATTGGAACAAAACAAATTAATACAGTGACTTATTAGAAAACTAAAAACCTTGAAAATGTTGAAAGCAAATCTATACATTGTATTGAATTCATTGCTGTAAAATGTTAGGGCTTATGGTTCAGAATCTGCCTATGCACATTCTCAGTTTTTACTTGTACTCATGTTAGGCCCATAATTTTCTTGTTTTGTAGTTTATGAGGTACTCATTATGTGAGCTGGTTGGGGATTATAAGAATGATTTTTATGAAATTTAAAGCGTGCACACAAAATAATTTTTAGATGTAATTACAAAATTACTATATTGTTACATTTTAATTTTTGATTTTGTTTTATTGGAGAAACCTATATAAGCCTAATTTTCTTTTGTTTCTTTCACTTTTCATAATTGACATAAGTAAATCTATTGAGTGAGCTAATTTGCTTTGGTAAGTACTAGGGAGACTTCACAAGTCATGAGGATGTTTTTACATATGTAGCAAACAAATATGACTTCTGAGTAAAACATGCTTTATAGTAAGTCATAAATACTTTTGCTGGAGTTTGTAACTTCAAGTTGGAGATGGAAAATACCAATGGTGAAGAAATAACGTTGATTCATCATGTGGAGAGGATGCTGCAAAGCTGACTTACTGAATTTATACAAAAATTCTGCTTCTTTTGATCTTCAGTTTTGTCTTATGTGTATTCCAACTATATATGCATCACAGTCTTTCCTCTTTTACTGTGTTATGACTACAGTTTTCTCATTGTTGTCTTCATGCCTTGTCATTTTACATGGTACAGGGGTTTGTAGGTTCTAAAGAGAAAGTTGGTATTCTTTAATGCACTGAAAAATTGGTTTTAGCTGAAGAATTTGCTTATCAATATAACTTTCAGAATAGTTAAAAGAATAGATATACATTGTTAACAAGTGAAAAGATTACATCACTTAGCTTTGTTTTTTTCTGTGTTAAAAAAGTTGTATTCTTACAAAAAGCATGGCAAATATAAAATTGGTAAAGAATGTATTTTAGAAATTAGATTCTAGAGTTAATGGCAAATGAATAATTTTAAATTGAATTTTGTATATTTATATCTCAACATATTTCTGTGCAGAATTTTTTTTCTTTTTTTATGTTTTTATTTTTTTTTTTGAGACAGAGTTTTGCTCTCTCAGGCTGAAGTGAAGTGGCCCATTCTTGGCTCACTGTGTCCTCCACCCCCCAGGTTCAAGTGATTCTCCTACCTCAGGCTCCCAGGTAGCTGGGATTACACCACGCCCAGCGAGTTTTGTATTTTTGGTAGAGATGCGGTTTCGCCATGTTGGCCAGGCTAGTCTCAAACTCCCGACCTCAGGTGATCCACCCGCCTCAGCCTCCCAAAGTGCTGGGATTACAGGCATGAGCCACCGTGCCTGGCAGAATCTTCTATTTTTAAGTGAATGTTGAATGTGGCAAAACAATGTACAATGACCTGTGGATTTGAAATTTGGAATAATTTATCAAGATGTATCAAAATACATCTTGGTAAAACAATTTGGAGGAATTACATGCTTTTTTTTTTTTTTTTTTTTGATATGGAGTCCCACTCTGTTGCCTAGGCTGGCGTGTAGTGGCATGATCTCAGCTCACTGCACCCTCCACCTCCCAGGTTCAAGTGATTCTCCTGCCTCAGCCTCCTGAGTAGTTGGGAATTACAGGTGCACACCACCATGCCCGGCTAATTTTTGTATTTTTAGTAGAGATGGGGTTTCACTATGTTGGGCAGGCTGGTCTGGAATTCCTGACCTCGTGATCTGCCGACCTCGTCCTACCAAATGCTGGGATTACAGGTGTGAATCACTAGGCTTGACCCATATTCTTCTTATTTTAGTGTTTTTGTTTGTTTGTTTGTTTGTGACGGAGTGTCGCTCTGTAGGGCAGGCTGGAGTGCAGTGGCGTGATCTCAGCTCACTGCAAGCTCCGCCTCCGGGGTTCACACCATTCTCCTGCCTCAGCCTCCTGTGTAGCTGGGACGACTACAGGCGCCCACCACCACGCCCCGCTAATTTTTTTTTTGTATTTTTAGTAGAGAGGGTGTTTCACCATGTTAGCCAGGATGGTCTCGATCTCCTGACTTCGTGATCTGCCAGCCTCGGCCTCCCAAAGTGCTGGGATTACAGGTGTGAGCCACTGTGCCCAACCCATATTCTTATTTTATATAATTTTTTTTAGT